TGTGGGTCGGACTCTGTGGGTCAGCTCGGGCTCTGGTCGCTCTAATAACGACTTTATGAACTTCTTTCACTTTCTACACGCGGACGCTGAGCCATGAGAGTATCGAGAGTAACGACTGATTGTCATTAAATGCATGTGCACGTGCAACTATTGATTATGTGATGGATTTAATTGATCCTCTGGAACTCTTTTCAGGGGACTTTCTCTCTGATCATTGAAGCCTGGAACGCGGAGTCTTCAGGACTCGAGTCTACAGGTAAACTGCTGCTGCTGCAGTGGCGCTGCTTCACCGCCAGGCGGCGACAGCGGCGCTGTTTCCCACTGCACACACACACACACAAGTCAGCTTTAGTGCAGAGGTCAGGTGTGAGGAGCACTTTAAAATGTTGGCTGTTAAATATAAAACTAATTACAGACAACCATAAATAGGTAGATTACAGAATATGTTGTATGATTATAGAATAAGAGTTTTTGCATTATTTTGAGTTTGGACACATTCTGAGGACCAATAAGTGCTCAGTTGTCTCACCACGCCGTCCCTCCTTCATCCAGAGAACCAGAACAACCTGATCAGCCGGCTGGCGACCCGCCGCAGGCTGACGGTCGGGGAGGACTGGTCCCAGGACGTGCACTTCGGCAACCAGAGCGAGCTGCGCTACTCCTACCACGTGGTGTGCAACGAGCACTACCACGGCGAGGCCTGCTCCGCCTACTGCCGGCCCCGCAACGACACCTTCGGCCACTACACCTGCGACGACGATGGGAGGCGCCTGTGCCAGGAGGGCTGGACGGGCGAGTACTGCTCTGACCGTAAGTGTCACTACCTGAACCAGGTGGTCCTCCTCAGACCTGATCCAAGATAACGATCCTTTAAAGCATCACCAGGTTGTTGTGATGTTAGTCAGAGGTTTAATGTAAATGATGTCTGCCATCATGAGCTGCTTTATCTCTAATCTGTAATGTAAGTTGTGATATTTGTTCAGTATAAAGTTTTGAGAACGCAGCAGAGGCTGTTTCAAATTTAAAAATAATGAGAATATGTGTGGAGCAGTTCAGCTCCATAAAGCAGCAACATTGGCTGTAAAATGATTTTTAACAGTAGAGGAACCCCTCCTCCTGTTCTCTCCCTCCGTTTTTATTCCAACGTTTCTTCAGATTAGGAGGGAGGATGTGTGTGTGTGGGGGGGGGGGATAGGACCCTTGGCGCTTAATTTTTTTGTCCGGCGGCCTTGAAATTGTTAAGTCAAGCAGTTGTCAACGCCATCGCTGGCCCTGGTGGCTGTGGAGGACAAAAAAAAAGAAGATCTTAGAGCTTCTGTCGTTTCCAGTGTGTGTGTGTGTTGGCTCCGAGGTCTGCTCCTTTTGTTTTGAGCTCAACAATGGGCCCCCAGTCGGCCCCCGGCCCGCCCGCTTTAACAGGGACACGCGCTGGAGCTTAATGTGCGCTGCCTTGCGTGAAAAGAGACGGCATGTGTTGCTTTTGTTGTGTGAGCCAGCTGCTTCGTTCACTACTTAACAAGCACTTGTAGGAGAGTGTGTGTGTGTGTGTGTGGGGGCCCGGACAGGGGGGGGGTTGTTTTGTGATTCGAACATGACACTCACACACACTGACTCATAGTAATATTCTCTCCTTCTTCCTCCCCCTTTCTCCCTTTCCCTCTCTCTTCCTCCACTGCGTTCCCTCTCCTCCTCCTCCCATCAGCCATCTGTGCAGCGGGGTGCAACCAGGACCGCGGTTTCTGCGAGTCTCCCGGGGAGTGTGTGTGCCGGCAGGGCTGGCAGGGCGAGCGCTGCGACGAGTGCGCCCGACACCCCGGCTGCATCCACGGGACCTGCCAGCAGCCCTGGCAGTGCAACTGCAAGGAGGGATGGGGAGGCCTGTACTGTAACCAAGGTGGGTTCGGCCTCCAAGAAGGGCCCGGCCAGTGAGGTCGACGGGCAGCTGACACCAGCTTTATTCAACAGCTCAACCAATTACTCATTTAATGTCCAGAGAGAAGTTTAAAACACACAGATTCTGACTTAAAGCTAACGTTGTTTAGCCACCAGTGAGACTAATGAACCTACTGACCCACAAATGATGTCAGTTTAACCGTTGACTAACCAATCAGCCTGATCTTACCTGTTAAATAGCACAACTATTATATCAGACTCCAGATGTTGTGTGGTCTGCACTGTACTAATTGAGCTTTGGTTATGGTTGACTACAATTCATTAAAATGTTAATTAGATGGTGAATGACTGAATGTGGTCGTTTTTGCATGTTTTTAGCTCATACTTTACACCGTTCAGAAGCTTTTATAACCTTTACCAAACTAATTTTATGTTTATTTCCACTCCAGTCGACATTGTGTCTTAATAGATATTTGTCAGTTATGTTATTGTTGCATGATAAAGGTAAAAAGATACAAAAAGACTCAAAATCCATGTTCTTTTCCAAAATGTATTAATTGCTTTACTTCTTTTGTTTAATTTTTCACCAACATAGCTCATGAAGGCAACATTATTTGACAGCCGACTCTCAATTTTCAGAAGTCGGATCTTCCTGTCAGCACATAAATGCACCAAACCTTTCAACTGTCAACGATAACGCAACCTTTAACCAAAATTAATGTCGACTATAATGGAATAACTATTGCGAGCAAGTTCAAATCTCTGCAAGTAACTTTTCAAATGGTGTTGTAATTAAATGAAGGTATTTGAATACTTGAAAATATGTTTCATACATTGGTAATTCGATAAGGTATTGATAACTATGGCTGAAACAAGGCAAAATGCCAGTATTTTCTTAGTCAACATTGGCATTGCGAACAAGTTCATAACTTTATTTAATCACACATTGCAATTGTGTCATCTTTAGGTTATTATTATATTAATCATTAAACAACAATCATATCGTACAGATAAATGATAGGCAGTGCCTGCAAGAAAGACAGAAAGTGAAAGGAAACAAGCTACAGAGGCACCTGTTTGCAGAAACAAAATGTTAACAGTATGGTATAAACATATAATACATCTTTCTAAATTATATAAACATCTTGTGTCAGCAGGTTTCACTTTAATATAAAGTTGTTTATCATCTGCATAATAGTGAACAACAAAACAAAAATGTTTCCAAAAACCAACATCATCTGAAAAATGACAAATAATCCATAACCTTATTGCAATTCCAATTCCAAATAGATATTTCATGATTAGTCACGTACTATAGCTCTTTACACTATATTCACACTTGAATGCACAATTAGCAATTATTAGAATGTGTTTTTTAACCTTTAAATAAACCTTTACTGGTTATTTCTCAGATATAAAACTCTTTCCTTGGTCCTCTTATGTTTTCCTTTTACTTCACCTGATTATTAAGTTGATCTAGGTGTATTAACGTTTTTGCCCCTAAATGAATGATTTGGACTGTTTTTATAATTTCTGCTATTAACTTTTTTTGTTTAGATCTTTTATTATTGTACAGTAAATTCTAACATTTGTCTTAAAAGCTTGCACATTATGTTTACTCATTTTTACCAGAAGGTTTGAGTGGGTGTGAAACTGCAGATGTTATGATGATGTTGAAGGGAGTAGAGAGGGGATGTCACAGTGTTGTCTTTGTTTATGGATGGTTTTTCCAGAGGACATACAGAACGAGCTGGAAATCTGGGAGCTTGAGCCAAGACCAGAAAACTTTCAAGCAAAACACTAATCTAATCTAAACTAAACAGAATGTTACATATTGTTAAAGTTAGAGCAGACACAACAGCGTTTATAAGTAAAAATCATAGTAGATATAACTTAATGTGGATGTTAATCTTTAAATTTGGGCTCCATCACAATACTACATTACATACTGTATCTGCTACTTGGTCACCCTCACATCTGACTCTCTATCAGACAAAGTAATGTTTTTACAAATCTGAGATGTTCATACAGAAAACACATAAACCTAATGAACATAATTTGTTTTACAAAAATTTGACTAATCTTCTTACTTTTCCTTGCAAATATCTCACCTTCATTTCTAAACATTTTAAGTGATACAAATATTGCTAGTAAAGGGGTGTAAGACATATCATGCCTGCTGTTTCAACACTTCTTGGTGAATGAATTTCAGTGAACTTTACACCTTATGTCAATGTTCTGCAGACAATAAGATATCAACATTTTGCAAGACAATAATTTTAGCTTACCACCCTCCAAAGAGATCAACATAATCTACTGTATGACCACTTGCTTTACTGCCAAACAAAAGGCCAACAATGTCTTGTTTAAATAGGTACACAGTATAGGAAGCCCCGTTCATTTTTATTGTCATAAACCTCCACTAGAAGATCATTTGTGGCTCATGTTTACAGGTTTTTTTTTTTACTTTTTCTTTCCACTTGTAGCTGCCACTGCTTTGAGTTGGTTCAATAACCTAACCTTGCTGTTTCCTCCTCTTTCTTATCTCCAGACCTGAACTACTGCACCAACCACAAGCCATGCCAGAATGAAGCCTCGTGCACCAACACCGGCCAGGGCAGCTACACCTGCACCTGTCGCCCCGGGTTCACCGGCAAGAACTGCGAGATCGAGACCAACGAGTGCGACAGCAACCCCTGCAAGAACGGCGGCAGCTGCACAGTAAGTCAACTCACCTGATCCTTCATCAGCCTAAAAAACCTCTAGATAGTAGCTGTGGACTGAGAAATCTCCATTCCCCCCGCCTCACCTGGTTTTTCCCTCCGGTCTTTCCTCCAGGACTACGTGAACGATTATTCCTGCACTTGCCCTCAGGGCTTCTACGGAAAGAACTGCGAGACCAGCGGCATGACATGCGCAGATGGGCCGTGTTTTAACAATGGAACCTGCGTTGAGAATGTTGCCGGTGGGTACAGCTGCAGCTGCCCACCCGGGTTCACAGGCTCCAACTGCGAGAGGACGAACGACAGATGCAGCAGCAACCCCTGCGCTAACGGTACGAACCACTAGCTTCAGTTCATTACAAAATGAGATAGGAGTTAAATATTTTTAAAGTTCCTATAAGTGAGCACTTAAAGGTTTGTTAGCTACTGAAGAAATGTGGGCACCTTAGTCAATTTGCCAATCATAAACTCAGGTGTGCTGGTTGCAATGAGCTCAAAGAGCTGCAGATTTGACAGTGATATTAGGACTATATGTCTTTCTCAATATGAACACCGACACTTTTGCAAGAACATTATACAAAACTGGCATCATGAACCAGGTGCACCAAAACATGTCTGATGTAAAAACATCTTTTAGTCAGGAAGGAAATCATTTCCTGCATTTCATGTTTGTCAATGAGGCCACAATGTACCAGTTTAATTCTGGTTTGTGGGACTGGTCCTGTACTTACTGAGTGTTCCAAACATGAGCTTATGTGTGATTTCAAAAACACTCTTATCCACACACTTTTTTAGGACAGTCCTGTCGGTACTTGCCAAGATTAAAATTTTACCTGAGCCACAAAACAACCACCAAACCTCTGCTATGTTTGTGTAAAAAAAAACAAAAACAAGTTGTGAAGCTGAATGGAGACAGCCAATAGGACTCAGTGATACTTTCTAAAAGTTCAGACTTGCAGGCGGCCAGCATTCATTCGCAGTGAAGCAGCTCTAAACATTGATGCGTCTCAAGAATCTTGGCCCTTGTTTTGTAGCTTTGATGTTCTGACTGAGAACGCAAGAATCAGATATTTGAATTGTGTTTGCTTCTGTAGTACAACGGCAAAATATTAAGATGAAAATAATTGTCCAGTCTCACTTGTTATGTACATAATCAGATGGAAACATGATGCACTGCTTTCGGTATATAAAGTTTACAAAATCTTTTCTGTTGTAGCTGTAGTGGTTGTAGAGGTATTAGTTGTTATGCACACCCCAGCAAATACATACAAACTTGTATGGTAGAGCCTCTTAGGTCATTGTTTATCTCATTGGCAGCAAAAATACAACAACTTGCCAATCAGGTCGAGTGTCCTGCTACTACCACCGCCAGGACAAACAATAAAGTACTGTTCATTTTAGACTGAGGGTTATCTAATCAGTTAGCCACTCTGAGTTTGGTTGAAGTAGAACTGACAGCCTTGTTGAGCAGCTTAAACAGAGGTAATGTCACTCAGTCAGAACAGCATCTCTTTTGGCGTTGCACTCAGTTAAGCGCTGTCTGGGTATGGGACACCTGCATAAGTTTTCTCTGGAAGTTAATCTGTTGGTAGATCTTTACTCTCACTGACTGGACCCCCCTGCTGCAGTTTAGATGCAGACATGCCAGTATATAAAACGTGGCTCTTTTTCACACCATTCTGTTTGTGAAACCACCCTGATGGTTCACCGCGTAGCCTTTATTGTTAATTGCCGTGGTTGCTTTGCTTTGCTGGGCGACGACCTCTGCTAAATGCCTGCATATCCTGACAAGTGGATTATCGGTCAGTTAATCGTTTATTTATATACCACAGTTCATCCAGTGTCAATCAATATCAAACTGTTTACAACAAGTGGGTATAATGATTAAACGATCTAACAGCAGAGGGTTATAGTCAGAAAACCACCAGAAGATTGAGTGTTTTCAGGTATAAATCTTCACAAACTACTTCATTACATTAGTATAATCTGCTTGGTATTAAAATTATAATTACTTGGTGGACAAAAACAGACATTTGGTGCCTTTTTATTTATTTAAAATTTAAAATGGTTGAGAGCTTTACATATGTTGCAGTTATGTTTCTACCAGAATATTAATCTCTGTGTGAGATGCTTGCATTTCTTTTTATACCGTAACGCAGCAGGTGTCTTATTTTATCCTAAATTAGTGGTGTCATCAGGGGTAATACAGATGTACAGCTGTGTTTCATCTGCATAAGACCCCATATTTCCTGGTGACATTGTACAAGTTAAAAGTGGCCCAAGAATCGAGCCCTGTAATTAATACTGCAAGGGCACGGAGACTTAAAACATTTGCATTAGAATTGGTGTTCAGGACACGTACAATTTGGACAATAGCAGTCTCAGTACTCATAATAATCTCTGAAAACAGACCAAACGGTTTCAAATATGAGAAATTCTGATATGTTAATGTCTTGCAGGTACAATGGAAGCACTTACTTGAAGAATAATTGTCATATTTTTACGTATCAGCCTCTCATAACTGGAATTGGCCCAGACTTCCTAACCAGTGAATCATAACTCATCAAATGCATGTTAAGTGGAAGCAGTTTCTCCTCTGTGTGAAATTGTTATTGTAGGTCCATCTCTTGTTGCATTAAGTCGTAGCAGTATGTCACTTAACAACAGCAATGAGCAAGAATATAAAAGGATAATGACTGCCTCGGTTTAAAGGCCACTGTTAATCGCAAGAACTAATGTGTTGGCGCTGATCCATGGTGGATAAAGTCCACGTACTCGAGTCAATGACCATCTTGTCACTGCACTGAAATACCAATAGTTTATGTAAATACAGTAAAGTCTGTCAATGTTTTTGGTCTCTTCATGAGAAAGTAAAGTTTATTCCTCCGTACGTATGTTCACATATCCAAAACCGAAATTATTACAAACACCAATGTTTCGGACAACAAAGGTTGCTGAAGCATCCTGAACACAAATATTTACAGGATAAGTTCCTGTCTTTGTGTAATCTGACAATGCAATTGGCTTATAGTTCTGTTGGTGCACCGACCAAGATCCTGCAGGACCTGCAGCAGTCCGCTGAGCTTGGTTCAGTTCCAACTACATGAACTTTTGAGTGGATTTGATCTTTGCCTGTATCAGTCTTGTTTGTACATGAAAGTGCTTTAATCCTCAGAGGGAGGTTCTGCTGGTTAAGCATGAAGTGTGAATATCCTGAATGTTCCCAGGAATCAGCCAGTTGTTTATTTTAACTGTGTTGACATTAAGGATAGGAGAGGATAAAAAATGAATGACAGTTTATGTAGCAGCTAACAAAGAAGACATCACTCAAAACTTGAGGTCACTGTCAGCATATGAGCACTGACTGTACTTTAAATTGTTTTAAATTAACTTTTAACTGTCGGATTGATCAAATTCAGTTATGGATTGATTGCTTCGATACTTTATTTGGGATGTAGAGTTTGACTAGTAATTGTTGTTCGGGTTTAAAGCCTCACATCACACATCTGTGTGTGTGTGTTGGAGGGCAGATAAACTCCTTGATTGTCACGCAGGAGCCTCTCAACAGGTGTTATCACTTTCTGTCTCACAACCCAAACATTTCACTCTTTGTTGCCGTTGTAAACAAACCTGTTTTTAGCAGTAGCTCACTCAGCCCTCTCAGTCTGTTTCTCTAGCTGGTTGCACTGTTGTCTTGGGCAGGAATCCAGCGCTGACGGCTCTATCAGACCGCCACCAGCGCCGGGCTGATCCACGGGTCATCTCTCTCTGGAAATGCCTCACAACGATGTTTTACAAGATAATTTAGCCATCGTTGTGGCACGCAAAGTGCATGCGCAACCCCTGCCTGTGCGTTTAACTCATTTACTTTACAAATTGCATTCACTTTACATCACTGCTGAACATTTTCCAAAACATGCAGTCAGTTTTTCATCAGCCATTATTTTCGTTTTTTTTAAATCACCTTGCAGAGACTTGATGCAATAGTGACAAAAGTGACAGTCTATCTGTGGAGCAGGCCACAGTTCAATGTAAACAAAGTAAAATCATCCATACATGCAGCCACGACTAGGATGTCTAATTTTCCTGCCAGCTCACGAATGCACCATTCAGGTTGGAGTTTAGATCAATCAGAATGATTATATCCTTTGACCGAGTTTATTGTAATGGTTAGCAAGTTTCAAGTCTCTGCAAGTTGATTTTCACAGTGAAATGTAATGCAAGCAAGGACTACCTGTAAGGAAGAGTCAGTGGTTTGGAAAATGTCCACCAGTAATCAGGAAAGAGATTATAACGAAATCTTTGGAACTTACAGGACACAATAAAAGAAGCCCAAATGTATTTTCAGTGAACAAACAAGGCTGCATATAGTTTGCTTTCGGGTCAACGGGTCCAGACCTTCTCTATGGGAGCAGACAGATAATCAGGATCAGACGGCTCCACTCACAAAACTGGCATCAACTTTATCACTGAATATTACAATTAAACGTAGAGTTATCGTCGGCCTGCTGAGTGACGTCGTCTCTGAGGGTCCCAGTTGAGCCTTCAGGCCTCCCTCAGGTCCTCATTAGTGTGTAGAAACCACCTCGTGCTTATCTTCAATCTGCAATCATTCCTGCCTCTCAGTGAGCCTGACAGTGGGAAAAAAAGACCCTCATGAGTGCTGACGGATTGGTTGTAGCTCCGCTCTGTTTGCAGTGTTGCAACACATCAGCTTCACTGAACAACCAAATATGGAGCTGATTCAACAGGGTGTTTTTTACATTGGTTAGCCTGCAGTTTGACCCTAAAATCAACCCTATATGTCCTGTTTAAACATCTTCAGTCACTGCAGGAGGAATGTTCCCTTCTATTTCCTTTGTCAGTAAATATCAAACAGACAGCTTGCAAAGATTAAAGTCACTGCTAAACCATGTGACAATAATCTTAAAATAATTGTAAGAATAGTCAGTTTAGTTCTTTTCCTCATTCATAAATCTCTTTCATGCATCTTTCACAGTAAACTTCACCAACACAGAAAACCTCTCTTCAGGGTGTTTCTAATCAAACACACATTTCTTTCCTGATGAGCGGCATCTGTTGTGAGGAAATGTTGTAATAAACACATTTTTTCCCCTCCACTTTACCACTACATCCTCTCTCTCAGCCCTCCTTTCTCTCCAGAAGAAGTCTTCTGTTATGATGATTATATCTTCTAGATTCTAGAGGATTAAAAACTAAAGAAAATTAACTCAGTTTGAGTTTTTTTGTTTGTTACATTAGTTTGAAAAATAATCTCTTAACTATGCTATTTTCATATTTGATTACAATATACAGTTTTTTGTATTTAGTCTGTTCAGGCTTGCAGACACCGGCACTCCCCCAAGGCTCCATTGTTGGTCCTCTTTTCTTTCGGGTTGTTAACAGTCTGTGAGAGACCTAAGGGCATCATTATCCATTAGCAGTTTATCTTTTTAGTTTTATATTGGTGAAAAACTTAAATCAGGGCGGTCTTTTATACAGCTTTTACATTTTCTCGTTAACATTATCATTTCTAGCATTTTCTGCACTGATTAGAGGTTATAGCATAAAACATAAAATCTACATTTTCGTTTTTTGTGATTACATCAACAAAGCTGTTTTTTTCTCATCTTCATGTGTTCTGTCGTAATAACTAAACCGTTCTGTCTCTCTCTGTCTGCAGGCGCTCAGTGTCTGGACTTTGCTAAGCGCGTCATGTGCCGCTGTCGTCCAGGCTTCACCGGCCCTCGCTGCGAGACCAACATTGACGACTGTGCCGGCAACCCCTGCCGCAACGCCGGCACCTGCGTCGACGGCATCAACGACTTCACCTGCACGTGCACACTCGGCTTCACCAGCAAGGACTGCTCGGTGCGCACCAGCCCCTGCGACCAGTTCCCCTGCGACAACGGCGGCACGTGTTACACCCACTTCACCGGCCCCGTGTGCCAGTGTCCACTGGGCTTCATGGGCGCACGCTGCGAGTATTCTGTCATCATGCCGACTACGAAACCTCCTGGGAATGGCAATGCCCCTTCTGCGCTGATTGCCGCCGTCGCCCTCGGCCTGGTGACGCTGACTCTACTGGTGTGCGCCGCCATCCACATTCTGCGTCAGGTCCGCCGGGGTAGAGCGCTATTGGCCCTTTCCACATCGGTGAAGAACGACCTGGAGACGGTGAACAACCGCAACGCAGTGATCGGTGGGGGTGGACCCAATAACGGGAGCTTGCCAGGAGCACCACTGGGCAGCCTGAAAGAGAAGGAGGCCTTCCTCATCCCCGGAGGACATCTTAAAGTCTCCAACAAGGATGCAGCACTGGTGGAGAAGGGCGGAGACAACATGGCCATGTTTAAAAACAAAATGGCAGACTGTAACCTGGCGAAAGAGGAGCAGCACCTGGCCAAGAACAAGTTTGATCTGTAAGCACCTGATGATGGTTTGATGGCTTTCTGTGTGTTTCATGTTTCCATCCTTTTTACTTTTCCTTTTCTTCTCATCCATTCTATGAATACAAGTCGTTGCATGTTTGTTGTCTGTTATCTGATCAGTCCTTTGTTCACACACCTTCACAAAATATTTCTGTCAATATCTTTGTCGTTGCTGCTGTACCAACCATCCCTCTCTCTCTCTCCCACTCTCTAACAGTAAGAAGTGTGACACGTCCATCATCGTCCCTCCTCTCAGTTTCGCAAAGGACAGTCTGTATCACCCAGTGTTCAGTGTGGAGCAGTGTGTGTTTGCTACTGAGGTGAGGACACGTCTACCAACACAACCACACACACACACACACACACACACACACACAAGGTGTATTTATGGATTCTTTATTTGGTCCATAGGAGACTAATCTCTGGTTTGTCAAACTCTCTTAAGTCAATTATTTCTGGAAGAAAAGAGTCAAAGAGTGCAGTGAGTCTTTAGAGACTTTAAATGAGTTTAAATTACTAGTTTAAACCCCAAGTTGTGTTAATGATGATGGATTATTTTGTTATTGATTACAGCTCTGGGTGCACTGCAAAAAGCTTACAGGACTAGATCAGTCTGTTGCAGACAGTGGTCTGATAATTCATTTATTTTCATCTTCAAAATAATGAGAGTACATAGACACGTTTATCTTTTTAAATAGTGTTGAAATGCTGATTTGAATACTGAAACAGCAAACCATCAGTCTCTATGTAGCTGAGTTAACCTCCAGATATTTACTTGAATAATACGTATCAATGACTCTGACTTCAATTAAAAGATGGAAGTTAATAATAATAATAATAATAATATCACTTTCTTCTATAATTAGAACCGACCAGTCACTTAGTTACTTTGTGTGCAGAAATGTGCACATAAACTGAAAATACAAGTAAATTAAGAAATAAACAAAACAGGCCAACAATAAACTAAACTTTTTGGGTTATCAGTTTGTTCAGAAAAAGGCTTGACATGAAAAAAAGTTAGAATAACAAAAGTGTATGTTGAGAAATGCAAAAATGCTAATCTAGTAACTATCATTTTAGAGACTTTGACTAAAAAAATTGTATTACTTCAAATTCATCATCCTGTTTTATAAATGATGGCATGTTTTTAACTTTGAAGAAAAAGTAAGCATATATGCTGATGACTAACCACTATCTCCTGTCTCGTTCTCAGGTATAACCTCCAGTTTCCAGACCGCCAGTGGAGGAACTTTTATGCTGAAGGCCTGAAACCTTTTCTGTGCAGGACAGTTCACCCAGAGGATCTATTCTAAACACATTATTTTATTTAATATTTATTACTGCTGCTCAACGGAAAGAAACAAAAAAAGGACTTGTTTTTTATTCTTTTCTGCTTTGATATTGACAATGTTTGGATGACAATGACTCTGAAAAGAAAAAGAGCAGTGGAGGAAGAGGAGAGGAAAAAAAGAAAGACTGAATGTCTGGCATCATTTGCACTATTTATCTTTTTTTATACTTTAAAATCTTAATATAATATTTCTGTCTGTATATCTGAATTTTCTTTGGATCAAACGTGAACAAGCGAACAAAAAATAATTGGAACTGTCCGCCAATCGGAAAGACCGGTGCCTTAGCTATGCTCCCTAATCACTGTGGCAACCGTTTCCTGTACAATTTCACAATAAGATGTCAATCCTCAGAGGACCTGCTTACAGGAACGGGAGACAGAACTTTTTATTTGAGGGTCAAACCTGAACTTTCCTACAAGTAATTTTTGTCTGAAAGCTGAACTGGACAGTTTGTGAGTGGCTTTCGATCCTCCCTCCGTCCAGTTTATTTTATTTCTTTGTTTTCTGTGGAAGTGGATAATTACATTGTGGCCTGCAGCCTTACAATCATATAAACTGAAGTGCCTCTTCTTATACAAAAAACTGCAGCAGGACTTAAATCCAGGACTCTGGACTTTCTTATGGAAACCAGTGCAGGTTTTTATAAACCTATTGAACTGCACTGGAACCAGCCCTTTCTACTGGTGATGTGTTTTTCCATCCATCATTCTGTTCCATTCTTCAACTCAATCCCATATTCCAGTCTAAATAAGGTTTCATGTAAATCAGGGAGAGTTTATACCTTAATCAACAATTAACTGTTTCCTATATTTTCACCTCATGGATTATAATCTACATTTCACAGTTTGAAGATATAAAACAAAAGTCAAACGCATCACAGGCTGGATAAAGGTTCAGCCCGGCTGGTATCATCTTACAAATCAGGTTTTCTGTTTGTCTGCTTATAAGATTTTCTATCAATCAAAAAACTAAAAAAACTAAACGCTGCCTTTTCTCTCTCTTGCTGCCTTTATCAACCACTGTTGTCACTGTAAGCGAACACCTGCTGCCCAAGACTCAACCTGAAGTCATCAGTTTGAGTCTGAACAGTCACAGCTGCGGGTGATTTGATTTAATATTTAAAGTTTTTACAACAGTGAAGGACTCCAAAGAGAGTTTTTTTTGTAATTCCTTCCTTTTACTGAATCTATTCGATACCAAAAATATGTGTTGTTCCTGTGTAGTCGTGTCTTTGTACTATCTTTGTTAATTTAAGAAAACAATGCAATGTGTACATATCCTCCATAAGATAGTTTTCTTATTTAAGTTTGCCCTTTGTAAATAATTTTGTATTTATAAAAGAGAATTGTATATATGTCTATGTTAATGTGCCTAATGTCTCAGTCAGAATCAAAAAATATATTTTTTCATAAATAAATTAGAAAAATAACATTAATGTCACTGTGTTGTTTCACGTTTCTTCCTGTGTGCGTACAATGAGCTCTTCTTTTAACATACCACATATGCAACAGATAATAAATAATAGCATTTCCTGATATACAAAGTAATGCATGAGGTGAAGACACCACAATGCTTTTATTATCTGTGTGGAAATGATGATTTCCACGTGTCTGTCTCAAATGATTTCATTTGCTTTGAAGACAACTCCAAGCACTGATCAGGAAACAGTGCTGTCGGATATGACATCATAAAAAGGACGACGAAAACAAATAACATCTGGTATCATCTAGCAGAAATGGAGGGTTGACCTAGCTACTCCCTGAACCTTTGACAGGATCCCATGTTCTTCTTCAGTTGTAAAGTGTGTCTTCAAGTCATGATTCAATCTCCTTGCTCTAGCATTAAAAAGTCTAGTTTTTGTCAAACATTTCCTAACTATTTACCAGGCTATCTAGATTCTTCTTGTGTGCAAATAAATAATTATATCAACAATAAATGATCAATAACCTGGTTGGACAACATAAAGTTTAAGTAGTAATAATGTCAGGTGCAGGAAAGTGAATAAAAGTCATGGTTTCCACTCTTTGCAGAACATTTTCCAGGAGTTGTTTTGACTATACAGGACAGCACCTGCTCACGAACGGTCATATAATTTACTGGTAGGCCTCGTAGGTGGTCAGCGTTTGTGGGACACACAGCTTTAGCTCGCTTTTGCAATGTGAGTCGATGTTCTTACCGCAACCGATGTTTCTGCTGTGTTCTCAGCAGAGCAGTCTCCAGCGACTTGACCACAATTTTTTTCTATCCACAGCTGATAACAGTTCAAATTAAGTTGAATGTATTTTATTGTAACAGAAAGTGTACCTTCTAGAAGCTAGAAAGTGTTTGTCCCACATACAATTAGGATCACTGTGCTACAGAAAGATTAGACTTGACACAGAAGAGGTTTCTTTGCGTCTGGTTAAACTTGGGTTTACATAGGCGATCGAGTAATACAATACAAATTTCCAGGACAACATAGATTATTTCCAGGAAAT